CATTGAATATCAATATTGATAGGAACAAGTATATAAAGGAACACGTTAATCTTAATATTTTCTAAGTCTTTATTATAATTAGATTAACAATGTTATTCATTATTAAAAATAATAAACAATAACAATAATATATATGAAAAGATGGAAATCATCAATAAAATAATAAATAGTCATGAGAAACTGCATATATTTACAGTCATGTCCTTATTGTTGGGTTGAAGTCAATTTTCTTTCACAATCAGTGTTTAAACTAAGATTGAAGTTCAGGAATGTGATCTGTGGCTTAAACATCTTTCATTACTGAATTATTGGGCATTAGCCAAAGAACACTATCCCTTGGGAAACAGAAATGGAGTCTGATTTCTGTTCCAAATTAACTTAAAACATGAGAATTAAAAAAGCTTCATCAATGGAAAAAAGAAAAGTGAAAAACCTTAATTTCCTAGCTTTCAAGAAGCATTTGCGTCTCGTGTACGATTCAATAAAATTTATTCCAGGGTTTATACCTTTTTCCAGTTGTTAATTCCAAAAGCATAGAGAATATCTTTCTAATTCAAAATTGTTCTCTATGGAATCAATTTGAAGTAATATTTAGAAATAATATTTAGCAATTTCTATTGGCCCGTAGCGTCTGGCGAGGATCATTATTAGTCCAGCTGAGTGACTTTTGGAACCCACCATCTGGTGGTAGAGGGACAAAACCAAGGTAGTGAAATTTTTGTTGTTTTTCATGCTTACTAGGTGGTTTGGTTTGGTTTGGTCCATATGATCAATAGGAGCAAATAATCACATCGGGCCATTGAACTTTTCTGTCGTCTTACAAGGACAATCTGGCTTCACTTGGCATATAGCTTCCATAATTTCACTTTTGACAGACATGTTGCCAAAATTTTGGATACAGAAAATCCAGTGAATAGCTCCACATTAACGACATTGCAGCTTGAATCATTGCGGTTCTGCTTTTGTTTTCCTTTTTTCCCCTCTTTAATAGATGATAGCAGTCCTGCTTTTCATTATGGTTAAGGCCTTGGATGCTATTATAAAATTAACATGTATATTCCTTCGTCATGGTTGCGTTTATGGTCCTAGATTCAACTCTAGATGCCGACAGTGAAACAGATTATGATAGCAATGAATATTGCCAATAAAAAAATAAAATAAACAATGTATGCTATAAGTAGAATTTCACATTTTATAATTCATTTTGAAGAAAGATCAGTCTTTCTTCCGTTATCATGTCTGCCTTTTAATTTATCATCCTACTAAATGATGAAGATAAAAGATTGTAACTTTGAAAACACAGGTGGGGTCAGCATTTGGTTTTTAACATTTTAGTTTTGTTTTCAGCTAACCGATCTCACAAAAAAAAAAAAAAAAAAAATCAAATAAAAAATTTTGTTTTTGAAACTGAAATTTTGATTTTTCAGTTTTGTTTTTTTTTGGATAAAATCAATTTTTTTTCTGATTTTTTTTAAAAATAATATAAATGAACAAAAAAATTGATGTTTATGGACTCTAAGCCTTTCTTTTAGTTCAAATAGTCTAAATTAGCCTATATAAAATATAATAAATATTTTTTTAAAATAAGACTAAAGCACACCATACTACATAATAAGGTAACAAAAATTTAAATACTAGTCTACTAATCCAAATCTAAAATATATAATTGTAAAAAACTATTGATTGTTCAATCATGCTATAAAACAAACTATTAAAATTCAAATAACAATAAAAAATTCAAACTTGTTTTTAAAAAGAAAAAAAATGGTTCCTTTAAAAATTTTAAAAACCAAAACAAAACAAATTTGGTTAGTTTATTTATTTTGAGTTAAAAAAAAAAAACTTAAATTGATATTTTTTTCAACTCGGTTTAAACCAAATACTACTCATCTCTACACATTACATATAAATAAAAGAACTGAGTTCTGTTTACGATGATGAGCAATACCCTAATTCTTTTGCTTCTTTTTCTTCTTTTTTCTTTTTTGGGGTGGGGGGCGCCAGGCCTTGGCTGCCCAGCCTAGCAGCCTCCCATTTGTTTTTTTTTTCATAGACCCAAGCCTTGGTGTCCAGAATTGTTTCTTTCTTTTTTTTTTTTTCCCTTCATATATATATATATATATATATATATATATAAGACTCATGATTAACAAACATTTTTTATTTTTTATTTTATTGTAAATTTGTAATTGCTGATAATTTTTTTATATAATTTTATTTGTTAATAAATTTGTTTTCATATAATTTTATTTCTTAATAAATTTGGTTTTTTAATATATGAATTTTGGGATAAAATCTTACAACTTCAATGTTTTATTTTTTAAAAATATATTATTATAATTTATACAATAAATTATTTTTATATTTTTAAATGAGTGTTTTATTTTTTAATATATATATATATATATATAGAGAGAGAGAGAGAGAGAGAGAGAGCCAAAAGTATATTTTAGATAGTTTGACTCAATTTTTTTTTTTAAATAATGAGTTAAAAAATTCACAAGTTTATATATATATATATATATATATATATATATATATATATATATATATATATATATATTCAGAATTTATCGGAATCAATTTTGTTGTAGTTTTTATTTTAATCTATTGACTTCAATATATTTCTATAATTTATGTGGGTTTTTTTTTGTATATTTATCTATTTATTCTCTATACTCTCAATATTCAATATATATATATAGGTTTATTACAAGTTAACTATATATAGATTCAATTTATATTAATCATAAAAATAAAACTTTCTATTAGTATTACACCATACGAATTGTTAATCTTATATATGTAACGGTTGTTCAGACGCAGCGTAGCGCGGTATCCGACTAGTAGCTAACTAAAATGGAAGTGGCTAACCAGGTGTCTTTAGGACAATTATTAAAAGTCATGCTTATAATCAATCACAATATTTTCTTATATACATATATATAATTTATTGAAAAAGATTACCACAAAAAATAACACTTATTTGATGTTTTTAATAAATATCATTAATTTTTATTTGATTTTTTTTTTAACGCAAAACAAGAATAAATGGATGCCAAGGATACTCGCTAGCTTTCCCCATCTATAATACACAATTTAGAAAATAGCATTAATGATAAAAAGTATATAGAAGCAAATGAAATGCAGATTTTAATAGAATTCTTAAAGTAAAACAAATATAGAAATGGTACTTTATTTGGAATCTTGTATTGCAAATCAGACATAAGAACAATATTTTTATGTGAATCTCTCTTTCGTTTTCTCGAAGCGATTAAAAAAAAATTACGTTTCGTTAATGAAACCCCTCTTAAAATTAAAAAAAACTTGGAAAGCTTTTTCGCTATGAAGGTACCACTGGAAGCGAAGTAAATTGCCCAAACTCGTGTTTGACATTGCCCGTACTCCTCTGCTGATTCTCTACCTAAACGATAAAAACAAAAAAAGACAAGACAAAACCACTTTACAAATAACAACAAGAGTCATCAGTCAAGCACATCATCACCAATGATGAGAGTAAGAAAATGGTTGGAGCATCTTCGCTTTTGGCAGCAGAAAGAAGATTGGCATTTGCACTAGAAATAGAAGAAAAGCTCACTTCCAAAACTTGCATATCCCACACACAGTCTAAGTCATGTGTGCCTCTGCTCAATCCCACTGAAAGAGCAATACAGATCTCTGATTTCTCCCTTTAGTTTTAGTGTTTTTTTTTTTTTTTTAAACTCACATGTACAAAGCTCCTAACGGAACTAAGATTTGAACCTGTAAACTCTTGCATATAAACAAAAGGCCACCACCTCTTTAGTTACATCCCATCAATCTCTGAAAACCAGGCTTTTATAGTAAGCCACTTTGGGGTCTTTTGGCTATTGAAGCGTTCTATATGACCCAAATTTCCATTAACAAACAGCCAACAATAGGCGGGGACATTACTGAAGATAGCAAAACACAATTTTCAGTTCCACTGTATTCTTATGCTTTTGCAGAACAAGTGAAAAGCAGCAATGTTTCTTAATCAGTGATTACTTGACCGTAAGGCTACAATCTCATGATTTAAGGGACGCAACTAACATTCTGTTGTTGTTAGCATGTTTGAACCTAGGTTGTGTGGTTGGAGGTATAACACCCTACGAACATTGGTTGCAAACATTCTGATTTTGTTGTCAAATAGTAGAAGACTAGTAGATGGGTGTACGAAACGTAAAGTTTAATTTCAGAATCAATTATCTTTAGCACAAAATGGAAAAAGAAAGTGGAAATTAGCATACAAAAATTGGACTCAAACATGTGTTGCTGCGTTCCATCTTTTGGTTTAATTGCAGACACAGTTAAAAGGAGGATCTTTTGCTTAATGATTCAAGCCAGGAGCGTGTAAATTGATTACAAATTTCACCTTTTGACCTTTTTTTTCGAAGCCCTTTACTCTTATATTTAGGTAGACGATGATTATGCTGCACCAGGTTCCCTAAACATTCGGCCTACCAAATAGCATATTATACTCACATGGCACCTACTTTTGATTGTTGATTCTCCTTTTGGTTGCATTAATGATTCGCAAAGTAGACAGATATATACATATATGGTAATCTAATTAGCATCAAGTGCAAATCATCAAACTATTGCATCAGATACAAGTCCAAACTCTAATAGCTAAACATACAAACCAAAACATTTTGAAGGAAACCATTAAGAGGGGAAGCAGAGAAAGTGAAGTTAAAAGTTCAACTTCGTCTATTGCTAATCTAAGAGAAGGAATCAATCACAAGGAAAAATAAATGGCATAAAAACAGAATCATATTCTAATTGGATTGGAGCAAAAGCATCCAAACACCAGAAATTAAGAAGAAAAAAAAAACCTAACTGTTCTAAACTCTGCTATATTCTTATCAACATCTGGTTTTTGCCTTGTATAAATTCATCATGCCCCCTTCCTGCTTATCAACGGGAAATATTGAAATGCATCAAGGCTAAGAAATGAGCGATATGTCCCCAACGAAACATCACGAACCACATGATTGCCCGTCCTTACGGTCTGGCGTCATATCAAACGATTCTGATTTTTTATTATTTTTCAATCTCAACAAGCCATACAGTTTTCTAAAATCCTTCATGGCATTGACACCCTCCTTGGAAAAAATCCCCGAGTGTTCCCCTGAATCCTCAGCTGACTTCCTTGAAGCATTATCAGTCCACTGTCTTCTAATGTTCAAAGACCCCCTCCCATCACCGTCCGTTTGCAAAGCAGTAATGACCGATTTCAAGGCCCGACTAGGCGAATTCCTGTTTGCAATCATAAGCTCCCCAATCTCAGCTGGGCTCAAACTTGCCCCAGTGAGAAAAACTTCCTCTACTTGAGGAAACAATTTATGATCCTTGACACCCAGGTAACTATTAGCCAGTGTTTTGAATGCAGTAAAATCACACAAAGGGAAATGAATATGAACATCGATCCGACCCGGTCTGAGAATAGCCGGGTCAACATGATCTTTATTATTCATTGTAAAAACCATAATTCTTTCCTCAGCACAGCAAGCATTTAATATCCCATCCATGAAGTTCAAAACACCTGATGAGCTAACGCCCGTTGATTTATCCATCAAAAACAGATCAAGGTCTTCAATCAAAATCACTGACTTGATTGTCGTCTGTAACAATAGCGTTTTTAGATCCAAATCATCTAAAACTCTTGAAAGATCAATATCATACACATCGTAGCCTATAAAATTAGCCATTGCAGCTACAAAGCTAGATTTTCCAGTACCTGATGGGCCGTACAATAAGTAGCTTCGCTTCCAGGCACGCCCCAGCCGGTGGTAGTACTGTTTGGCTTTGAGGAATGAGTCAAGATCTGATTTCAACTTATTCTTAAGATCAGATTCCATCGCAATTGTATCAAACGTTGAAGGATGATTGAACGGAACAGATCTCCACCGTCTGTTTTGCTCATGACTGTCAATATTTATGTAGAGCTTCAAACCTTTCTTCTTTTGTTCGACCTCGTCTGATGTTATGTGGATGTGCTGCAGATAAGGACGCAGAATTCTGCGTTTATCGGCTTTTCTGATCTTCAAAACGAAGGTTCTGCAACAACTGGTATCGCTTTTTCCCTCGTTAATCCAAGAAACTCTAGCCCCAAGGAAATAATCATCGATTAGCTGGTTGGGATCGAGATGAAGGATGATATCGTTGGATTTTTTTCCGGTGAAGAGATTGGTGAAATCAGAGTCTTCCATAGAAGCTAGAGAGTTGAGATAAATTGAGACTTTGTGATAAAGCTGATTTCCTTGCATGCTCTCGTTGAATTCTGGGACTTTGAAGAATTGATAGACATGAAAACAATCTTCTATTGATCTCCTCCATTTTTTGGCGATGTAAATTAGCCCAGTTTTGAATAAAAGGACACGAAGCAGAAACAGTAGACTAACAATTATAAACAGAAGTAAGATTGCGGTATAAAGAATTTTCATGGTTTTCTGCAAATTGCCAACAATAAAATATAAAATTCAAAGATGTAGTCGTGGGATTTTAATGGGAGATTGTTTCCCCTTGCAAGAATTACAAGTAGTCATGTTTTAAAAGGAGTGGGAATCTGCAAGTGGAAGGGAGATGGAGAAAAAGATTGACAGAGAAACATTCATAGCAAAAAAACTTGAAAATTTTGATTAAGAAAGAAGGGTTTTGGAAGAGAGGAAAAACGCGAAGGTGAAGATTAAAATAGGAGATCGGAGAGAGGAGATGTTTAAAAGGGTGGACTAATTGAAGTTAAAGACGGCTAATTGCCGGCACCAGGATGGATGGGTTAAAACAGCAACACGGGGTGGACACAAAAATGGTACTGTGGAGGAAAGGAAAGATTGTTAAAACTTGAAAGACGCGTGTAAATTATAAATTAATTCCTCTAATTTTGTAAAAGGAATCGAATAATCTTTTTAGTTTCAAGTGTTAATTAATCAGCCCCTTTCCTACATTTCATCTCCCTTTTTAATTTATTTTGTTTTTGTTTTATTTTAAGAAATAGAAAAAGGTAAAATATAGGTAAATGATATAGAAAGATCGATGAGAATTTTTTTAAAATAAAATAATATTAAACTAAGTATAGTCACAATAGTCAAAAGACTAATTAATTAGTTTTTAAAAGTAAATAAGCTATTTAATTTATAAAAAAAAACTCGAGGGACTAAATTATAATCTACCAATAGCAGGCTTTCAAATCCTAGAGCTGTGTTGCGTTGCGTTTTGGTTATTTCTTTTATTATTAATAATAATAATAATTTATTTATTTATTGAGAGAGGCTATCCCCGTATCCTCTTGTATTTCTCCGTCGTTTCTGCGATTCTATCTACCATACTTGACAGCCAGGATGTTAAATTAATTATTAATTTGTTAGCAAAATCATGAGTAAATCTTTTTGTTTTTTCCACTTATCTGACGTTCTTTTTAAGTTTTTAATTTTTGTCTCGCGGGATATCTCTTGTTCTACTTGGACACCGATTTTTTTTCAAGGCAATTCCAAGCGATGAAGCATAACCATTTAAGTCTAAATTGGGGAGGAAATCCATCTCAATAATCACATGGATTCAATTTTTATTGACTTTTTTAAGCCCTAATTGCGGTCAGATCGATATTTCGATTGTTACTATATATGTGATTTGGATATGTGAATATTACTAGGCGGGATTCTTCTACTTATTGGGTAAAAAGACCCGAATCTAGTTGAGAAGATAAAAGAAAAAATATATATATATATCGTTATTATTTGTTAAGAATATCATTTGTGATTATTGTTATTATTATTATTATTATGAACATGTACTGTGATTAGTGGTTAGTGTCAGAGGAGAAGGATCTCTCAAACTTAATGCTTTTTCATATAAAATTAATGTGCTTTGATTTTTTATTTTTATAGTAAGGACCCGACCCAAGCCCATAACAAAATGTTGAATTCCTACAGGTTTTTTTTTAGAGAAGACTCTCCGAGCTGGAAAGCAAAATTTTGATTTGATTTTATAAATGCTATATTTCGTTATAACCAAATACACTTGAAGTTTTATTTAAATTAAAAACTAAACAACAATATAAATTATTTTGTAAAATTCTATACGGAGATTTTTAATAATTGATCAAACGAAAGATATAGATAGTTAATATTATTATTTGTAAGAAGAACAATTAATTAATCAAATAAAACAAATACAAGTAATAAGAAGCATGAAAAGATGAGCAATTTAAGTAGTAAAATGTATAAAAAAAAAACAAACAATGTTAATAAGACAGATACAAGTAGTGAGAAGCATGAAACAAGAAACATATAGTAATATTAATAAATGCAAATTGAACAAAGTTTTAAATGACGTATGATTTTAGGTGATGAAATTTAGTGTGTATCTGTATATGTGAGTGCGAGTATCGAGAGGGAGAGAGAGAGAGTTCAGAGATTTTTATTAAAAATTTTATAAAAATATGAGATTAACATTTATAATAAATTGTAGATAACCGGTGAACGCCATGATTGTACCACATGGTTCATGTTTTGATGATTTTTTAAACTAAATTGTTTTAACTTATTAGTAATCATGTACCATATCATTCCAATAAGAATTTCTTTTTCTTTTTCTTTTTTTTTAAGTTTCGTCCTCTTTCCTACCTTGGGGATTCTAGAAGACTTACGTCCAAAGAAAAGAAATTGTAGTTAAAATTCAAATTCCCTCGCTTTTATTTTTCCTTTTTGGAACTGGAAAGTTCAAATTACTCGGTTTTGCTGTTCCACACGTCTGGGGACTGTGACAAATAGGTAAGTCGAAGATAGCAGCATAGCAGAGTGACACATGCCCCAAATGTTGTTATTCTGTTGATTTGAGGATTGGGATATTCTTTATTCTCTACGTGATTTCTTGTCAAATAAACCGATGAGTGACAAAATAGTTTTGTGCACAAACTCTCTCCAGGTGGAAGAACCAGCAGAATTTGGCCAGCATACTAAGCAGCAGTAGTATTTGACAGGCTTTAATTTCATCAATTTCCTATTAAAGAACCAACCAACTTCTGACTAAATTGCGTGTATATTAACTGGCAAAGGTCCCTTTATTTGCTACAGTATAACCGACAGAACTTTCAAACTTGAACAAGCAGGAAGACAGCTTAATTTAAATTTTAAAATGTTAGCCAAACTGCCCACTATTGTGGTCAAGGTGCCTTCTTGTGAAGAATTAATTATTGGTGTTTTAAAAAAATCAAGCTTCATATTCTTAATTGATTTCAACATTTTATATGATTTCTGTATTTTGCATTCCATTTGATTACTTTGAACGTTTAACTGGCAATATGATCCCAAGTGGATTTCTTTTGCGTAGAGATTGAAGATTGGATACATTCAGAAGCTCAACTTTCTTTTTCACACCAATAAATTATAAATTTACTAGAGATTGAATCTTGAATTTAAAAATTATCATTTGTATAGGTCGTACGCATCATTGACTAGCTAGTTTATTATGTAGTATTTGTTGTTCCTAGCATATAAAATATATATATATAATTAAATAATAAAAATTACATACTGAGTAAATACATGATTGAAGCATTTTAATTTAATCATTAGAAAAATTAGGATTTAAAATCATATTACTATAATTTCATAAAATAGAGATGATTTAAGTATTAAAATTATCATAATTAAAAAGGTTGAAGATGACTAGATTAAAACACATATCATATTATTTTTTTAAAACGATATACATTATCTGTTGAATTTTTTTTATAAAGCAAATCAATTATATATTGCACACCATTTTAACAGTACAATAGGCCAATATTTTTTGTCATAACTTTATAAGCTTACACCGTTTATAAAATGATAAATTTTCAAAGAGCATATTTAATTTTATCCATGTATCAAATATAACATATGCTATTATATTATAAATGAAGACCAGCTAGAAAAACAATATGGCTGTGACAATTTGTTAGTTTATTTTCTCTTTCAATTTGTCATTCATACCCAACAAATATATATATATATATATATATATAATCAACACAGCAATTTACAAGTGTAGATAGATCAACACATAAAACCTTATCAAAACTTTGTAATCGTTGGTAATAACAGCACAAATTAATTTAGAAAATATTTTTAGGTATAAATTCTATTCAGTAGGATATAAAAAACTTACATAAATTTTTATTTATTTATTAAAAGGTATAATAATAATATTGATAATCTTGAACAAAATTAATTTCTATATAAATATTATTTTTTATCAAAATAATCCAACACCATCTTTTTAGTTTTTATCTTTTCATGAAAATAGTAATACAAGCTTTACAAACAGTTATTTTTGAAGCCTTCCATAACTTTTTGTACTTGCAGGGAGTGAAATGTGGCTCAGTTTTTGTTTTACTACTGCCCATTTACCTGCACATTCATAGGAAGATTATCATTTATGTATTTTTTTTCCTTGTACGTTTAACCTATTCGATACATGAATTTAAATAAATGAGATATTGTTTAGTTATTAGAAATGAAATGACGAAAATAGAAATAAAAATTTTATTCTCACTTAATCTGTAATCGTTTAGTTGAAAGAAATAAAATAAAAATCAAAATTAAAATTAAACATAATTTCATTTTCGTTTAAAAAATTAAAATAAAAACAAAAAATAAGAATATTTTTGTTAAAATAATAATATTTTATCATATATTTATTATTTTTATTAATTTTTACTGTCATCTCTATTGAGGATGTTGCACCACCACACACCATTACTATAATTGATAATGATGATAATTTTTTTATTTTATTGTAAATATAGTATGAAAATATAAATATTATTTTGATTTTTATATTTGTTTTTCTGGTAAACAAACAATACATAAATTCTACTTCTTTGTTTATATATACTAACGTGGCAAGATAAAAATAAAAGTTGCAACGAACTTGGAGTTTGGATAGTTTTTGAGGAAATTATTCTTTTAATCTCTTGGTTTTGAATGCAATTATAACTTAGCGTTTTATATATCAAAACCTATAATTTAGTCACTGAATCTTTTAGATTATAATCCATTAAAGCATCTTAGTTTATTTTAAATTCTAAATGCACCAACATAGCAGGGTATCAAAACAAAATTAAGCAATAGATGTTTCAAGAAGATAACAATCAATAAAAAATAAAGAAATAGTGATAACCCCAATCAAATAAAAGATAATTTACTTATCGAATTCACCAAAAGTCCCTCAAACATATACATATGACGACGTCTCAATAATCTCTTCCCATATCTTGATTCTTTCA